TTAGACTCCACTTATTCATCCATGCAATAAAAGTACTTGTAGTTTTATAAAGAACAAAAATGAATTTTTTTGAGACAGAGTCTCACTCTATCACCCTGGTAGAGTGTTGTGGAATTGTAGCTCACAGCAACCTCAAACTTTTGAGCTTGAGCAATCCTCTTGCCTCAGCCTCCCGAGTAGCGAGAACTACAGGCGTGAGCCACAATGCCCAGCTAGTTTTTCTATTTTTAGCACAGATGGGGTCTCCCTCCTTTGTCCAGGCTGGTTTTGAACTAGTGAGCTCAAGCAATCCACCCACTTCAGTCTCCCAGAGTGCTAGGATTACAGGTATGAGCCACCATGCCCAGAGTAGCTGGAATAGTGACTGACATGGTAGAGAAGTCATAACAGTAAAGAGTTGGGAATTGTATGCAAGTCATATGGTGTTATATGCTAAAGTGGAAAGATTTCAGGATATACTGTGAAGTGGAAAAAAGCAAGGGGCAGAGCAGTGTGGAGGATGTGACGTCGTTTGCATAAGATCTGGCTGGCACACGTGTACGCGGGTTATCTTCTTGTCAGGCACGGTTGTGAGTACTGTGCAAGCCTCAGTTCATTTCGCCCACATAAAGGTGCTATGAGATAAGTATTGTCATTACCCCATTTAACAGCAGGGCAGGAGCAGTAAGGTCATGATCCAAGGTTGCACTGCTAGAGTGGAGGGGCTGGGGTTCAAACCTAGGGCATCTGAGGCCCCAGTATCTATGTGCTTCAGCACTACCCCATGCTGCCTTATAAGACACTCTGTGTCCTCACAAGAGAGACAGAGAGAGAAGCAGAGCCTTTTCAAACACAGGCAGTGATAGAGGTGTTGTAGACACAAGCCAAGGGATATCAGGTGCCATCAGCGGCTGGAGAGGGCACCACTCTGCCAACTCCTTGATTTGGGCTGGCTGGCCTCCAGAACTGTGAGAGAATAAATTTCTGTGGTTTTAAACCACACAATTTGAGGTAATTTGTTAGGAAAGCCACGGGAAATTAATGTAAGGGTATAAATACATATGTTGATATATGAATAAAAAGTTTTTTTCTCAAAGGTTATATAAGAAACTGTTACTTTTGAGCAGGAAAATTGAGAGAGAAAGAGATATAGAAGGAAAGTGATTATTATTCCCCATATTATACCTTTTGGTTCTATTTGGATTTTTTACTGTACGTATGTACTGTTTACTTTTTCAAAAGGTTAACAGAGGGATAATTAAAATAACACAGTCTAAAGCCAGCAAATAGAAAGCTCCTATACAGAGGCAAAACATTATTTTGAGGATTTTTACTTTTTAAAAAACTGCCCCTTCATGATCTATGTTAAAAAAAAAAAAAAAAAAGGACAAGTTAAATGTTTGGATGTTAAAACCTTATTTGAAAATAAAAAGGAAAAGCAAAAAATAAATCAATAAATAAATAACTGCCCTTCAAGCTCAGCGCCCATAGCTCTGTGGTTAGGGAGCCAGCGACATGCACCAGGGCTGGTGGGTTCAAACCCAGCCCGTGCCCACTTATCACTGGCAACAACAACAAAAAAGAGTCTGACATTGTTGCAGGCACCTGTAATCCCAGCCACTTGGAAGGCTAAGGCAAGAGAACTGCTTAAGCCTAAGAGTTTGAGGTTGCTGTGAGCTGTGATGCCACAGCACTCTACCCAAGGCAACAGCTTGAGACTCTGTCTCAGAATGAATAAATAAATAAATAAATAAACTGCCTTTCATCTTTCTCCACATGAGGAATAAATATTAGTGTCTACCAACAGCTTTGAAATGAGTTATGTGATAATTATAACTATCATAAAATATACAAACTACATGAATAGGATTAATAATGTTTGTATTATATATTGGCTATTGATATTAAAACTAAAATTTTCTGCTGAACTTAAAAAAAAAAGTCAAGCCACAGACTACGCGACTTTTTTCTCAGATTTTCCAAAGTCCTTTTTATTTTAATTTCTTTTTTTTAATTTCAGATTTAACATGAAGGCACAAATGATTAGGTTAACATGTTTGCATTTGTTAGGTAAGGTCCCTTTTGTGTCCTCACCCAGTAGGTGTGCCATATACCCTCACATTGTGCCCATTAGGTGGAACCACACCTATCCCCTCCCTCCTCCCCACTACCTCTCTCTTTCCCCCTCCCCCCCAACTTAAATTGAATTTTTCTCTTCTGTGGACCTATATTAGTTCTTCAACTGACTTTATGTTAGTATTAAGTACAATAGATACTTGCTTTTCCATTCTTGTGATACTTTGCTAACTCCATCCAGGTTAATACAAAAGATGTAAAGTCAGGGAGAAGGTGTTTGTAACACACATAATCACAAAAGGGTTCATATCCAAAATACATAAAGATTCCCTACAAATCAATGACTAGCAAACCCAATGAGGGAAGATGAGCAAAGAATAAAATTAACAGAGGGATCACAGGAAAGGAAACAGAACTAGCTCAAATATATCAAAAGGCGAGTGTTCTCATTAGAACATGGAAAATACAAATTCAGATAACCAGGAGACACGGGCACGCACCTGAGGGAGACCAAGATTAAAGCATCCAGCAATACCAAACGTTGCTTACAATGAGGACACAGTAATGCTTGCACATATTCAAAGATTCTGATTTAAATGGTCTGGGGCAGAGCAGCCAGCTTTTCATTTTATTTTGAAAGCTCTTAAGGTGAGTCCTTTCCAAGCCTGCAAAGATCAGGGCACCGAAACGTGCATAGCGCCTTCTAGTGGTCGCCGTTTTCCCCATACCTCAGGGCCTGCAGGTGGCAGGGGTGTCCTTAACTCACCCTGCTACTACAGATCACTGTTCCTCCCCCCACTTCTTGCAACCTGCTCCTTCTAATTGCAATCATCTACTGAGCCCCATTGAGTATTCTAGCACCACTCACTAAGTTCAATACCATCCCTTTCATAATTCTAGTGATTTCAGTGACTACCTAGAGATTCGTCCATTCCTCTGGCCTCTCAATTCTTTGATATTGTCTCATCTAATGATATTGTTCCGCATCCCACCTCAGTCACACATTCCCTTATTATATTAAATGTTGATAAATCATGATCTATCTTTGTAATCATTCTTCTGCATTCATCCTTAACTAACTCCTCCCCACTTAACCCAAGTTGAACCCAATTCTCCACTGGACTATACTGAGCTCAAGTGGCTGAAACCACCATCTCTGGCATATTGGACTGGCACCCTACCCTTTTGAGCCACAGGCGCCGCCCTCTGAAACAATTTTTTTCTAAAAGAAGGTTCTATAATCTGTCATGGGATTAAAATAAAGAAAAAAGAAATAAAAGAAGGTTCTAAAATAAATATAGCAAAAAATGTGGTAAATCTGGGTATCATCATAGTATTCATTTTTTTACACAAATTAGTATTTGTCATATTATTCTCTCTTTTTTTTTTTCTTTTGAGACAAAGTCTCACTCTGTCACCCTGGGTGGAGTGTGTGGCATCATAGCTCTCAGCAACCTCAATCTCTTGGGCTCAAGTGCTCCTCCTGCCTCAGCCTCCCAAGCAGCTATGACTACAAGTGTGAACCATCACACTTGGCTAATTTTTTCTATTTTGAGTAGAGATGGGATCTCACTCTTGCTGAGGCTGGTCTCAAACTCCTGAGCTCAAGCAATCTGCCCACTTCAGCCTCCCAGAGTGCTGAGATTACAGGTGTGAGCCACCACGCCCAGGTTTATTCTCTCTACCTTTTAAATATGTTTTAAATACTCCAGAATTTTCATAATGAATTTTTAAAATTTTAATTTCAGAAAAATAAAATGTCTGAAATAAAACCTGGTAGGCTTGGAAGCAGCTACATTTGAGCAAAAGGGAATAAATAATCTGCAGTCAGCAAAAAGAAAGAAAAACTTGCTGCTAGGATTATTTGGTTGATGTCCTTTATCAGACAGCTGTGATTTGGGTCAAAGGAGAAAAGGAACCAGCCCTTTCAAAAGGCACCGTCTGACTGGATTGTTGTCACTCAGCAGGGCAGGGCAGGTATGCATAGCCAAGATGCTTGCAAAGGTCTTCAGGCACTGAAGTCACAGGCATGGATGTTTATATCTACGGCACACCCAAACACACCTGTTATACCAGAACAGTTTGATAACACTCACAATGTCAGAACTGGAAGGGACAGTGCAGGACAATGCTCTCTAACTTAAAGGCAAAAAATCCCTGAGATACAAAAGCCAAAGGCTAGTTACAGATCAAAGTTCTGGCCCAATTCAAAAAAGGTGATCTCAGTTTAAAGCAATTTCCACTTCCTCCTCCCTAAAGTAAGATAACTTTCCAGTTTTTCTATGAGTATAATAATAATTTTTTTTATTTAATGTGGAAAATTTAAGGAAGAAACTAGAATATAAAGAATGACCTGATTGTCCATCAATAGGAGAAGAATTGAAATAAATTAATACAATTATAAAATATAATGCAAGTAATAGAAGAATTATATGGGTTGATATATATTGACCAAGAGAGAAGATTATAATATATAATTAGTAGGAAAAATTTTATACAACGTCAATATCCTGTCGTTTTTATACAAAGCAAACAAGAAACTGTTTACATATATAGTGTTTACAGAAACTTATAAAAACTACAGTAGGATCCACACACTATTAAAAATAGTAGTGATGTTGAAGGTGAGACAGTGAAGCTGTAACTATTTTTCTTTACTTTTGAATTTAAAATTTTTTCTAAAGACTGTGTAGATCAGGAGAAAGAAAATTTGCCTTAAACACATCACTCAGAAAGAATCTCTGGTTTTAAATTATATTTTTCCTGACTTTTATATAAAACGTATGTACACACATATATTAACAAAACTAGTTTGAACTAGTTTATACCACACATACTAAGCTTCCCCGCCCCAGTGTTAATATTTAGCCATATTTGAGGAAGGCCTCAATACACGGCCTTCCTTCCAAGTTAACGAGTTCTAATTTTGAAAGGCTACAACATACCCGACTGTACTGTCTGGTGTTACTACAGTTCCCTTCACCAATCCATTACTGAGGGACTTCGGGAGTGTTTCCGATTTTCCCTGGCGTGAACTTCAATAAACACCCTTGTGCATACACCCATATTCGCACAGTTGCCACTCAGTACCAGTTCTCCGGTGAGGAATTCCTGGGCCAAAGCAAATGAGTTTGAGTTTTGATCCACATTTCCAAACTGGCCTTCTAGAAAATGGGTGTTTTACTCGTTAGGGGAGGTGCGCTCCCACCGACCGCCGTGGGGAATTCGGTTCAGCGCAGAACTGGCAGATCACAAGCTCTCGCTTAACTTGAGCAACCTCTTCCTGGCGAAACTGCAGGGTTTTCCAGGCGCTTTCAGAGGCAGGAGAGGGACCCAGAGAACCCCGAGAGCTGCCCCGTGGCACCTCCGCTCTAGCAAAGTTTGCAAGCTGGTCCGGAAGAGCCGGCCCGGCCCTCCCGGTGCGGGGGTCGGAACGACCCACAGGGGCGTCCGAACGTCCCCAGGGGCGCCCGGTGGGCGGGGCTCCCTGTGGGGCGGGGCCCCGGCGGGTGGGGGCGGGGCGCCCTCTCCAGCCGGCCACGCCGGGGCCCCTCCCCGCCCGCCCTCCGGCCGCGTCCCCGCCAGCCCTGCCGACGTGGCGGGGCGGGACCCGCCGAGCGCTCCCGCGCGCACTTGGCCGCCGGAGGGGTAAGAGCCCCGGGCACCCTCTCCCCATCCCCTTTCCCCGGCGAGCGGGAGGGTTGGGGAACGCCGGGCGCCGCTGCGGGGTTGGAGTCGGGGGGACCTTACCGTCGCTCCTTGTCCCGGAGCCGGCGATCCTGCCCTCTGCGTTAGTGAGAAGCCATCGGCAGGGACTTGGCGCCGGGCGCGACCTGGGAAGACCCGGCTTGGGGGCGAAGGTCCGAGGAGGCGCTGGCGGCGCGGCCGAGGGCCCTGCGTGGGTGCGGGCGTGTGAGTGTGTGTGTGTGAGTGTGTGTCGCTCCAGGTCCACGCTCATGCACACACCCACACGCCCGCACGCCGGGTCTGCCCCCTCGGCCGGCGCAAACTCCGCGGAGCCTGCCTCGAGCTACCTGTCCTAGCACCAAGCGAGTCTGAAAAAGTTCCCCCAGAGACCGGGTCCGAGACAGGCAGCGTCCCCGCAGCCCGGGGCACGGTGGGAGCAGGACGCGTAGGGTAAAGGCCTCCTCCGGTGGTGGTCCTGTCCTTGGCCTTGGAAAGCAGAACTCGGCCTTGACCTCGCACCCAAGCTCATCCCTCTTCCCCGGCGCCCACCCGAGCCCTGCCCGCCCTTGTACCCCAGCCCACTCTCTAAGCTGGCGCCACCTGAATTCGCAGACCCCTGGGATGGGTCTCACTCTTTTCTCCAAAGCCCCAGCCCCCTCCACCCCTGGAAACTGAAGTTTCCAGCCACCTCGGATCAGGGGCTTGAACGGCCCTGCCTTTATCCTAGAGTAGGAAGACAGCTCTGTGGGCTGTGAACATACACTGTACCTTTCTGACTCCATCGGTCCCCTTTCTAAACATCTTAAACGATGCTAGCAGGTGGCTTTTTAAATCAAAGTCTCTTGAACTCCATAAGACCTCAGCCAACCTGGGGGGACGAAAAAAGAGGCGCGCCCCGTCCTCAGAGGCCTCTTGGCAATCCTCTCTTCCGCCGGATGGCCCCTTTCTACCCCACCCTTATACGTCTGTTCTCACCCTTCTTTCTTCCACCAAACCTGAGCTCAGGAAAGAATGTGCTAAACGTCTACATTGTAAGCGTAAGCAAAGGAATGAAATAAACTTTAGGGGTTAAATTTGGGACACAAGTGAGCCTGTGCAGAAGGAATTTGAGGGTGGGAGGGGGCCTTCCTAATCTCAGAGTAGCCATTTACTTATACGCCCGGGACTATATCAAACATTGTCTCTTTAATTAACATCAAACACAGTATATTTCAGTAAATACGTGAGGGTCAGAAACCAGGCTAGGTGCTGTTGGTCACTGTCCTGGAGGACAGGATGTCAGAAGCAGATACTCCCTGTAAATGGAGTAGAAGTTTCTGCAAAGTACCAAAAACAGAAAGGGAGTGGTTAATTCTTTGGAAGGAGTGGGCATATTAAGGAAAGATTCGGAATGAAGGTGACATTAACCGGATGTCTGAAGGAATAGGAATGCCAGGCAGTCAGAGGCAGGGCAGCGAGGCCGAGGAATCAGTGTGAGCAAAGGCAGGGAGGCTTATGAGCTGTGGGAAGTGATGGAAAGTCTGGTGAGGCAGGAGCCCGGGGTGTGCCAAGATATGAGGAGAAGGTCAGAGAGGTTGGAGCTGGATTATGAGGGGCCACAGGTGCAGTGTGGGGGTGTTTACACCTAATGGTTTTTAAAAAGGGAAGCGAATAAGTCCCATGCTGGGGTGGAGAACCTATAGGCTTCTGATGTCAAGATTTTTTTAAGTACCCAAAGAGGCAAGAAATGCTTCATCTTTCTCTACTGCACCCTTTTTAATAAAAAAAAAAAAATTGTCTTTTTTTTTAGACAGAGTTTCACTATGTTGTCTGGTAGAATGCAGTGGCATCACAGCTCACAGCAACCTTAAATTCTTGGACTTAAGAGATTCTCTGTCTCAGTCTCCCAAGTAGCTGGGACTACAGGCACCCAGCTATTTTTTGGTTGTAGTTGTCATTGTTTGTCAGGCTCAGTCTGGGTTCGAACCCTCCAGCTCTGGTATATGTGGCTGGCATCCTATCTGCAGAGCTACAGGCACTGAGCCTTTTTTTTTTTTTTTTTTTTTTTTGAGATAGAGTCTCACTTTGTCACCCCTACATAAAGTGGTAGAGAGTTGTGGCATCATAGCTCACAGCAACCTCAAATTCTTGGGCTCAAGTGATCCTTTTGCCTCAGTTTCCCAATTAGCTGGGACTACAGGTGCCCACTACAATGCCAGGCTATATTTACTTTTTTATTTTTTTGATGCCCTGGGCATAGAGCCATGGCATCGTAGCTCACAGCAACCTCAAACTCTTGGGCTCAGGGGATCCTCTTGCCTCAGCCTCCCGAGTAGGTGGGACTACAGGTGCCCACCACAATGCCCCAAATGATTTTCTATTTTTAGTAGAGATGGGGTCTTACTCTTGCTCAGGGTAGTCTCAAACTCCTGGGCTCAGGCAATCTACCTGCCTTGTCTCCCAGAGTGCTAGGATTATAGGCTTGAGCCACTGCACCCAGCCTAAAGAATTTGTTAGGTAAAATTTGGATAAATCTGGATTTTAAATAATTTGTGCTACAAAATTTGGATACAATTAACAGGTCCCACTTAAGGACATGTGGCCTTAAGGCGGCAGGCTGGATATGTGTGTTTGACAGGCTTCCTGGGGACTGTCACAGCCTGATTCAGAGCCTCTCATCCAGTGTTTTACTCCTGGTCCTTCACTAACTAGCACTTTTTGTAACTGGGGGAGATGATCTCACACAGGATATCATGTTAACTAAATTTTTATTTTGCCAACTGAGTCTATCCATCCACTGTCCCTGCTGTTACATAAAATGAAAGATATTTTAATACCAAGAAAAACAACGAAGGATAAACTTGCAAGATCAAGGCAATCCTTTACATTTAATAAATTTAGATTTATAAAAAACTTGCTGCATTGTCCTCATTTTTCTCTATCATGGACTGGCCCCAGTCCCACAGTTGGGGGTTGGGAACAAAGTATATAGACCATTTGGTCCAACCTTACTGTACAGAGGTTCTCCCTTGCACAGGGTCAGTCTAGTTCAGGCGCATCTTTCCATTATCGGATGGATCACTTTTTGGCTGTTTTGTGTTAGTGCATAAGGTCATTCATTTCTGAAGGATAACGACGTCTTCTGTTGCCTGCTTATTTTAGGAACTCTGATGTTGCTGCTCCAATACCTTACATAGTTCTGGGAACATTTTAGGTGATGAATGAATTTCCTCATGAGAAACTAACTTATTCCCAGCCTACAAAGGCTTCTTTATACGCCACCCTTCCTCTCCTCAGGGTTTCCTGAAGCAGCCTTCTTGTTTCTGTGGGTTGAGTCTCTGTAGTCTCAAAGCCACGGGACATGGTTGCAGTGATCAGCGTTCCAAATCATAAATCAGGAAAGACTTCTAAGTCTGACTGTGCTTTGGGGTCAGACTGAGATGGGGACCAGACCGAGATGGGGACCATCCCCAGAAACACAGAGCAGGTCACAGCTGTAGTCCTGGGGTGCTCCAGCAGTCCCTGTTCAGAAACAGCTGTGTATTTAGGGTGCAGTTTCTAATGGTTTCAGACCGAAGGAAAGCGTCTTAGAAACGATTACTGTTCCCCATCATAGTAATAAAAGTATACCAGAACAAGCAAAAATATTTTTTATTTTTATTTAGGGAAAATTAGACCTGTAAGAGGTAGAAGTAAATACAGATTAGAGATATATGAAATTAGAAGTTGAAATAGGGCTCTTCTTATGGTGACCATTTTTATTATTTAAATAAATATAAAAATCTGATCTTTCTGAAATTTATGACTTACCCACAAGTTTTTGTTTGTTTGTTTGTTTGAAACAGAGTCTCAAGCTGTCCCCCTGGGCAGAGTGCCATGGCATCACAGCTCACAACAACCTCCAGTTTCTGGGCTTAAGCCATTCTCTTGCCTCAGCCTCCCAAGTAGCTGGGACTACAGGTGCCTGCCACAACGCCCAGCTATTTTTTTTTGGTTGTAGTTGTCATTGTTTGGCAGGCCCAGGCTGGATTCGAACCCACCAGTTCTGCTGTGGCTGGCACCTTAGCCGCTTGAGCTACCCATAAGTATTTTTCTAACAATATCACTTCAACACCTTATAGCTTATTCATTTTGGGGTCTGTTTGGTTTGGTTTTTGAGGGGGGGGGGTTGTTTTGGTTGTTGGGGGGGTTTTTTTGTTTTTTTGTTTTTTGTTTTTTGTATTTCTGAAGGGTTGTTGATGTTGCTGCTTGAATGCAGAGCAATTGTGGAGAAGTTTTCTTGCAGTGATTTTTCTACCCTTGAGGTTCACTGAACTAAGGCAATTTGGCCATCAGAGGTAGGTGAAGATTACAGGTTTCCTCCTCTGCAGCCTCATTACCAAGATCTGTATTACCACAAACCCAAATTCTCTGATGAAATTCTGCCATGTTACATGTATATTAGCAACTAAGCTTAGTTATGCAGTCTGTTCTCACAAGCTTGAAGTCCTAGCTTGCTGTCCTTTTAGGCCTGCATTCTGGTGGCAGGACTCTAGTCACCTTCAGGCTTCAGAATTCTGCAGTCAGCCAGAAGCACTAGAAAAAGTCCTACTCCAAAGGGTACTCAGCTGCTGGACTCAATATAATGTGCCCTGGCCGTAGAAGGGCAGAAGGCACCTGTACATTGTTTCTCACTGATCCATACATCTTAAAAACCTTTCATTTCACCAGTGAGGAATGATTTCTAATATCCCTTATGCTAATTAGCACACCCTGGAGTGCTGATCAAAGAGGACAATGGCTGAACCCTTTCAAGAATCAGACACCTGGCTCAGCGCCAGTAGCACAGTGGTTACAGC